GGGGAGGAGGGTGGCTGGTTGATTTTTATTTTATTTATTTATTTTATTTTGATCCCCCCATGTTCATCACTGATTGATGCTGTTTTTGAAGTATGAATAAGTCAATAAGTAATTTATTCCATTGAAATATCATTGATGTATTATAGAAAAGTGATTATCTTTTTATAAATGACAAAAGGCACATCTGCCTCATTTTCGCTGTGGTATCATGATACTACTCAGAACCATGATATTTTCATTGGTATAGAACAGTGGGAACCAATTTTGGTACAGTGACAACACTAATCTGGAGGGGGTTCATCTGCAAAAACTAATGAAAAACTAAACAATGATATTCGGTACATACGGCGCTCTATGAGGACGCTCAGTGACGCTCAGTGACGCTGCGCTTCTCTCATGATTGTGATTTGTCCACTGCGTGCGCGTTCACAGCTCTTGATAAAGCAAACCTGGGTTGAGTTACCGAGTTGATATCCAGCGTCGTGATACCGATTATCCTGATTGCCATTGTTAGGGTTAGTCAACCCAGGATAGGTCTGGGTAACCCAAGAAAGGTTGATCTCGCTTTGTGATACAGGCCCCTGAAGTCAGGTTTTTATTGTGAGAGCTGCTTCATTCAGGTCGTTGTTTACTTACTGGCACCTTAACTGTGGCGATATGCTGTTCAATATTCAGCCAATATGACCCAACATGATTACTTTAAATCCGGGTTACGGGTCGGGCTGCGAGTCGTGTTTCAACGGGTCGGACCGGGTTGCGGTACTAATTGGCCTGATGCGCGGGTTTGCGGTTCGGGTGTGGGTTTGTACGTCGCCGTGTCGGGTCGGGGCGGATCTTGAAAACTGGACCTGTACAGGACTCTGGTGTTCAGTCTGGGTGATTTTGATTGTCTCTGCTGCTAAACAATTTACATGGATCAACTGTCAGAGTTTTTATTATTTACACTGTGGTATCTATCTCTGTAATATCTCTGGCTATACCTTCATCAGTTAGGTATTTACTTTGCTGACAGAGGTCATGTTTGAGTGACAGAGATGTTTATTCATGTGTTTATTAGACTGAAAGAGCTCTGAAAGAGGAACATATCAAACTTGCCACTAACACACAGTGGGTGAAAGAAACAACACTGATGCAATGCAGTCTAATGGAATACTCTAGTACCGCTGTACTATTTTAGTACCGGTATACCGTGCAACACTAACCCAGACCCAGTCCAAATCAGCCAGAAAGTAATTCTTGCTTTGTACAAAAAACAAAAGCTCATTCGTTTTCATACATTTAAAAATGTAAAAAAAAAAAAAAAAAAGATGATTTGTTTTCTGGCATTTCAGAAACAGAATTGTTTCTTTTGTTCGTATTTGTTTAGAAATAAAACAGTACATTTAATATTTTATAAGAAGCCCCTTTTTTATATGCTACTAGGAACACATGTTAGAAGATGGGCCACTCAGTTCTAGCTCCATCATAGTTCAAAATAAAAAAATATCATACTTTAACATGTTCGTTTTAATAAATAAATGAATTTAAATAACATACAATTAAAAATTTGA